ATGAGGGCAATGAATGTACAAATGCGCTTTACACAATTGATGTGTGTATGGATTGTGATAAGAGTTGTATGAGCCCCTAATAAAATGATTTTTAAAAAAGGGTGAATTATCTTTGATAAAGACAATTAGAAATACTTTTTATAGCCATATACACACAAGATAATCTTTGAAATAAAACACACACACATCACTGCCATCAATTTGATTACTACTCACAGCACCCCTGTAGAGCAGGGTAGAACTGGCCTCGTCTGTCGTCTGTGGAGACAATAGTGGTTTTGAACTGCTGACTTTGCAGTTAGCAGCTCATCAGGAAACCCGCTATGCTATCAAGGAGCCTTGCCTCTGAGATCAAGTTAGAGAAATTTCCAGACAGCCTCAAAGATTTCTTCCTGCCCTTTCCCAAGTTGACATTGACCCTGGAAGCCACAGGTACTTTGAGGACATTTTTGTCCCCTGGGAAACTGTAAGGCTAAATACAGAAAGAACTACCAAGAAATACTACATTCCTTGATAAATCAATTTCTCAGAACACTGCTACTTAGCAATAAAGGAGCTGTGCATTATTCAAGCCCACAAACTCAAACACACTGCCCTCAAGTTAATTCTGACCCATAGCGACCTAGAAGACAGGCTAGAACTGCCATGTACAGGAGGTCGATGAATGAAGAATGCACAAAAAGTGGTGTAGTGGGTATAAACTGGACTGCGGACGGCAAAGTCAGCAGTTCAAAACCAGGTGCTCCGAAAGACAGAGGCAGGGCTTTTATTCCTGTGAATAAAAGTCCCAGCCTGAGGGACACACAGGGACAGTTCTATCCTGTCTGCTAGGGTTGTTATGAGTCAGAATCAACTTGATGGCAGTGAGTTTGATTTGGGTTTGGTCAGGGAGATTATATGATATATTTGTAATAGAGTTAGATTCATTTGATCACAATTCATTTCCCATTCTGAGATACCCAGATATCCTGGATGATTTTGCAAAGCTTTATGTAGCCAAGCGTG